AACTCCTGACCTCAGGTAGTCCACCCACCTTGGCCTCCCAAAGTGCTGGGATTACCGGCATGAGCCACTGTGCATGGCCTCTCAATTTTCAAAAAAGGAAAATGGGCTCAAGGTCGTAGCTGCCTGAGCTAGTTCCGGCAAGGCCAACAGTCAAGCAAGAATACCTCTGTGTCCAAGCCGCGTCCTCCTTTTCATTAAGCCCAAGGGTATCCTGTACTTTTTTTGCACTAAGCCTAGCACAGCATCCAGGAATCTGGAATGGCAGAAGATGGCTCCCTATTGCCATTATTGCTTTTCTGTCTTTCACAATCCTCGGCCTTCTGTAGAGGCCTTCTACTCTTTTTTTTTTTTTTTTCCGAAACGGAGTTTCGCTCATTGACCAGGCTGGAGTTCAGTGGCGTGATCCTGGATTCAAGCAATTCTTTTGCCTCAGCCTCCCAAGTAGCTGGGATTATGGGCATGTGCCACCACACCTGGCTACTTTTTGTGTTTTTAGTAGAGATGGGGTTTCTCCATGTTGGTCAGGCTGGTCTTGAACTCCCAATCTCAGGTGATCCACCTGCCTTGGCCTCCCATAGTGCTGGGATTACAGGTGTGAACCACCACGCCTGGCCAGCCTTCTGCTCTTTGGAAGGACCGGGCCTTCGCTTCCTTCTCACCTATACCTGTCAATACACCTGCACAGATATGGGACAAGGTGCAGTTTCCCAGGTGCACATGCCAGGCCCTTTCCTGCCTGGAACAGCTTGTCCCTTTTCCCAGCCCAACTAACCCTGCCACCAGTATAAATCAGACACCCCATCTGTCCTTCTAGACTTGGCTCAAGGCCACGTCTGTGCATCTTTCATAATCCGCGTGTCTAAGTGGTCATGGAGACCCCTTCCTCCATGTTCCTCCCTCTGTTGGTGCAAGCATCCTAACACGTGTGCATCGCCCTGCCTATTCCCGACTGCCTGTTCCGTAATACTATCCTCTCCTCATTCAGAGAGGGTGTCGGTCAGGCACCACAGCCCTGCTAGTACCTGTGAGGGCCTCCCCGCATTCAGGAGCTTGGAAAGGGAGAGAGAATGGGATGGCGGGTCATGTGTCCTCCTAATACTCACCTTGTGAGGCCGGTGCTTCTCATGAACATGAAGAATGTGGATCCGCAGCCGGTCCCGCTTCTCAAAGGATCGTTTGCAGAGAGAACAGGGAAATTTCCTATCGCCCTTGTCCACACAGGGGGTGTATTTGAGGTGCTTGTCTCTGTAATATTTGTAGGTAAATACCTTTCCACATCTTTCACATCTGTAGCCTTCTGCAGACTCTGTCAAACACAGCAAACACAATGTCTCTTCAGTTACTTCCTTCCCTACTTCCTTCAAGAGGATATTTCCTTATCTATTTATTTAGTTTTAGATAAGAGTTCTTTTTTTTTTTTTTTTGAGATGGAGTTTTGCTCTTGTTGCCCAGGCTGGAGTGCAATGGCGCGATCTCGGCTCACCGTAACCTCCGCATCCTGGATTCAAGCAATTCTCCTGCCTCAGCCTCCTGAGTAGCTGGGATTACAGGCACGCGCCACCATGCCCAGCTAATGTTTTTGTATTTTTAGTAGAGATGGGGTTTCACCATGTTGACCAGGATGGTCTCGATCTCTTGACCTCGTGATCCCCCCGCCTTTGATTCAAAAATATCTAACTGTAATCTTTAGAAGATGACATCTTTTTTTTATTTTATTTTACTTATTTTTTTTTGAGACGGAGTTTCGCTCTTGTTACCCAGGCTGGAGTGCAATGGCGTGATCTCGGCTCACC